CCTTAAATGGCTGTAGTCTTAGGTTACTTGTCAGCTTCAAAAGACATCACACGTCTAACATTTTTGTCCTGTCAGCTGGTAGTGGTTTTCAAAACAGGATGCCTATTTTTCCCCCGATTATTTCCAAGTGAGACACAGAAGTCTGAGCTTTTGTTTTCAGTTGGTTATACAGGTTCAACCTGGTGATTCATTCTTCCTGCAGCTACATTTCCAGGAAAAGACAAAGCCCTGGCTCTTCTCCAATTTATCCAAGTAAGATCAGAAAGCACTCCTCCCCCAGCTGTGACACTTTCTAAGAAGGGAGAAATTGAACAAAACACATCCCAGAGTTGGTGTCATCACCCTGCAGAAAGGCAAGGAGGTGCATGACCTTGGGAAGACATGTGCAGTACCAAGTCAGGGTGAAGATAACAGCAGAGTTTAGTGGATTTAAGATTCTCAGCCCTGTGAAGAACAACCAAGTGTGTGCAACGAGCCATTCTCCATTTCTGGGACTGATGGTGACTTTGAAGCTGGGTGGTTTACAGGAAATTCTGCAATTTCATTTCAAACCTTTTAGAAGACTTTCATCCTCTTGTTGCAGTTGGTGTGGACAAGAACATATGCTTGGAGTTGGGAATTTTTCAAGAGTTATTACTCATAAAGAAGCTGCTAACTTTGGCTTCAGACATCTCCTCTCAGGGATACTGCTGCTTGCAGATGAAGGGAAGCCTGGTTTTGCTTAATGAGGCAAAGGACAACAGGGTTGTGTGGTTGTGAATGCAAGTGCTGAGATTTCAGAGAGCGAGTTAAATAAAAACCTGCACAACTCTGCCTACAAGGAACTTCAGCAGGAAACGTAAAGACTTGTCTGAGAAGTGCAAGCAGACAGCAGCTCCCATCTACTCAGCAAATGGGCGAAGTAAAGAGACAGAATTACCTCCCCCTGTAAGCCCACAAGCCAAAACACAGCTGGTAGCACTAATATTAGTCGTGTCAAGCCTGGTAGTCTTCATTTATTATGCATCCTGCAAATAATTATACATACAGTTAAGTTATAGCTCAGAAGCTGCATTTAGTGGTTGGCAGGGTGTGCTCCTCACTTGGAGCAGTTGGCAGGGTATTGCTCCTCTGACCTCATTAGACTAACATGAAGAGCAAGTCTGGTCCTTTGTATATTCAGAATAAACCACAGGTCTTTCTAATCTCTGCATATTAGGAGCAGAGGTCACTACTCCTTTGGCTGTCATCACAATCTGATTTAGGCTTTGTTTCAAGATGCTGTCTGGCCTTCCTTAAAGGCTGTGTGGAGCTCTCCTGAAGTCTGCAGCAACTTCCCGAGAGGGCTTAAATTAGGATTCGTTTCCCACATTTGTGAAAGTTACTTTGCTTTTCCTTTTGTGAAAATTAAAGCGCAGGAGGGCTGCTCCCCAGTGGGTGCCCTGCTCAGAGACAAGGGGTGGTAATTGAGAGTCCCATGGCACACACATCTCTTTCTGCAGCAGGAGGAAAAGAGGTTGAATCCCAACAGTCCGTAGTAAGCTATTTTCAGCTCAGGCATTCATTATTGCCATGATCCGCCATCCAAAATGCCTGCTTATGCAAAATGTGGATCTAGGTGCGTGCTGCCCATTGTACATCCAAGTAACTGATTTTTTTAATAATGGAAACTGTCTGAGGATTCACTGGGGTAAATCAAGCAGAACAGTAAAGATGAGACAGAAAATAGGAAGAGAACCAGGACCAGTAATAAATCATGATAGAGGACATTCAGTGTATTGCTACAGCAGTAAGTCAATAGAATGTTAAGCTGCATAAATAAAAAGATAATGTGTTTCATTTCTGCAGGGTGTTGCTCAGACTACACCTATTAACAGGATCGCCTGGTTTTGCAGAAAATACACACAGCAACAGGTTTTGTCATATTATCCTGGTAAGTCAGATCTGACTTAAGTCTTTAAGAGTTACTTTGCCAAAATGGAGCAGGAAATGGATATTCCTCATTACTGCAGCTAAATGAAAACATGCACAGATATGGAAAATTACTCTTTGCTGGTGTACTGAGGTATGTGGAAGCGGAAGCATAACTTCGCCTGGAATGACAAGGAGGTGGGACAGTTTGCTGTTTCTGTGACTTCCAGGGATTAAATTCAGCTTCCTCTTGCTTAAGACCTACATGAATAAGTCCTCACAGGGAAACAGACTACTGCCTTCTTTCCTCCCTCTGCATGTTTGTATAAATCCTGATACTCTACAGCAGCACTAGCGCAGGGGAAGGCAGCCTTCATCTCTCCCCCTTTGCAGAATTACATGCTGAGAATAAGTATGAAACCCATGGGAAACTTCAGCCTCTGTGAGGCAGAGGAACCAAAACCTTCACACCCAAATAGCAGTGAGGCACATCACATACTCCAGCCACTCTGAGTTCCCAGCATTTCTCACCTATCGGCACAAGTATGTGGGGTTTTGGCTGTTGGCCCCAGTGGCTGGGCCCTCGTGCTCAGCTGCCCAGTGAGCCACTCTTGCTCACTTCCTCACCCTTGAACAAGGATTTTCCACTGCCCAAAACCGCAGCTTTGGCAAAGGATTTCCTTGAAGCTGCTCCAAAGCTGAGAGTTAGCAGAGGTGCCAGCTTGCTGCTGGGATCCCCGGAGGCACTTGCTGCAGCTGCACCTCCCTTTCCCGAAGGCAGGCAGTCCCACAGCCCAGGGCTGCAAGGAGCAGATGGACTTGGCTTTGGGCAGGACACTGGGCATGGCTGCTGTCCAGCTGAGGTGTGCAGGTTTGCCTGTGGCTCCTTCCACTGCTCTGGATGGAGCAGCTCACCTCCATCAGCGTGGCAGGGGCCCAGCAGTGCAGCAGCAGTGCAGCTCAGCCTCTCCAGCCTCTGAAAACAGCCAGGTGCAAAGAGTGAGGGAAGGTATTGCTCTTCTCGTGCAAGAGGAAATGATGCCAGTTTTCATATTAAATAGTGCAGATGCAAGCCAACTCTAATTCTTGCTGAGAATCAATTGCTTCAGTAAGTCACAGCAACCCTCTAGCTTCTTCTCTTTCCCCACCATACTCACAAAAAATCTGTGGGTGCAATGCTAGAGGGAAGAAAACACCAATCTCTCAATAACTGTTTTGCATGAAGCCCCTTTTTCTCTCCTTGGCCCAGGTCAGTCTCCTGCTCCACCCAATGGTTAACCCCTGGCCCTTCCTAGAACTGGGAGCAGGACTGGCTGGCCTACAGCTTTCCAAGCAGAGTGCAGAGGCTGCACTGGGACTTCAGTTGGCCTGAAGTGGTTCAAGAAGTGCTGAAAGCAAATCTTCCCTGAGGCCCTGGTGTAATCCACAGCAAGGTCAGATCTGTCTGGAGTAACAAGGCTTTGCAAACTGTCAGTAGCATGTAGACAGGCTTAGCTAACAGTTTAGAGAAATTGCTGGTAAGTGAAAAGGTATCATTCATCAGTCTGAGGGAATAATCCTCACATAAGACTATAAATCACTTGGTTTGTCACTTTATTGTGCCTGGGATTAAGCTGTACAAATTCTGGAAACACAGCATCTCTGACTTCTCTTCAAAGAAACTACACATGGTTTGCCCAAAAACTCCATGTTTGTCATCACATGGGAGAGCCAACATTAGGATTTTTCCTACAAAATGGAGTAAAACCCTGAGCCTGCTTATCTTTGGACTAACTGCCAGCATGATAGCAGTTTTGTAATACTTTTATGTGTTCCTAAGTCTTCTGCAGAGCCATTCTTCCTATCAGGGGCCAGAGTTAAATTTTTGTAGCGATAGTGGGTTGTCTCATTGCAGAACAACGCACGTTTGCGTTTTTCAGGGCCTCTGACTGCTGTGGCTATCTCGCCCTCTGATCCATCTCCCCTGGAGTGTATTCGAACATTCCAGTCCTCTGAGGAGCTCTCAGGCAGCTGAAACTCAGCAAGCCAATACTGCTGGGGACTTCCAGTGTCGCTGGGGATGCCCCGTGCAGTGCCGCTTTCCCGGACTGCGGGCAGGTTCCGCGCACAGCGAGCGGCGGGACGCGGCACGGCCGGGGCTCCCGGGGCGGGAGCCCTTCAGCCCGTTAAAGGCAGCGGAGAGGCTCGTGCTGCCCCAACTCGCAGGAGCTGCGGCGGGGCTGCCGGCGGGGCAGCGCTGGCGTTGTGGCTCGCGTTCCTACGAGTGGCTGTCCCCCGGCCGTCCCGCTGTCCCGCTGTCCCCGGCTGTCCGGCATTCCCGCATTCCCGCACGGCCGCTCCCGCCGCGCCGCGGCACGTGCACGCCGGGCCAGCGCGAGCCCCCCGGGGGCGGGGCCCGGCGCGCGGCGCCGAGTGGGCGTGGCCACGGAGGCGCGTCTGAGGCCTCGCGGCCGGCGGTGCGTGCGCGCGTGCGTGTGGGGAAGGCTAGGGGAGGGGAGGGAGGAGATACGGGCCGGGGGAGGGCGCGGCGGAGGCCGCGTGACGAGCCCCGCGCCCATTGGCGGAGCGGCCGTCACGCGGCGCCGCGGCGGGAGGCGATTGG